TCCTGTGACCAATCAGCCGCTCATAAGATATCTTCCAATCGACAACCAAGCATTGAGGCTCTAGAGGCTATAGCTCCGTGGACCGAATTGGGAGTGAAGATAAACATGTCAATTCCAGTCAACAAACCGTCAAAGCCAACTTCATCCTTCTGAAGATGTTAAAGGAGATGTCCCCCGAGGTAGATATAACGGCATTCCAGTCGAGCGCTCCGACATCCGACACCCGCTTGCATGAAATCATGCATAACAACATAACCACCTTAGCTGACAGTTGTTTCAGTGTCAAATCTAGATTCGGATAACAAGACGACAGAAAACTATAGAACTACATTAAGTCCCGAAATGCAACAGATCTAGCTCTAGGTGGTCTAGCGAGGCAAATCCCCTTAAGCAGACAACACACGAAAGGGTGCCTATCGACAGGTGACCCACCTAGACCATGATGTCCAGTTGAAATAGCCAAACGATCCAGGTTGATGGTGCGCTACGACTTCCCCGACCCAACCTACTAGTCAAGAATACCAGAATCATATGCCGAGGGGCAGATACAGGATCCCTAGTCTGTGCCATGCACCAACTGGACCAAATTCACTAGGCAGACCGGTATGTCGATCGAGTGCCTGGTGCCCATGCATTGTCGAGAAGATTGAGAGTTGATTGCAAAACTCCCGAGATAGTCCAAGGTTTCTTGAAAAGGAGCCATGCCAGTAGATACCACCAACTCGTACAAGTTTCCATTCAGATCCACCAGGAGATTCGGAAGAGTCGGGAGCAACCGCGGGTAATCTATTGCCAACTCCAGCAACCGAGGGAACCACGGTCGTGGGTGCCACAGGGGAGTGATCAACACCACCGTGCACTTGTGTTGAGTCATCTTCGAGAGCGTACTAGCTGTCAGGTGGAACGGGGGAAAGGCATATATTCGAGCAATTGGCCACGCCTGAAGGAACGCGTCCGTTGCCACCGCAGCCGGTCTCCAACTGTAGAACCTCGGCAACTGGGCGTTGAGTCGAGATGTGAAGAGGTCCATTTCAAATGGGTCCCACAACTGTTCCAATCCTATGAACGCCGAAGCGTGCAAGCGCCAGTCTCCAGAGTCTCTCAAATAACGTGAGTTCCAGTCGGCCGTCAAGCTGTCCAGGCACAGAGTATGTTCCGCCTTCACAGAGACGTTGTTGTGGAAATGGAAACTGCCAGAAATCCTCTGTCAGGAGTATCAACATGCGCGACTTCGTGCCCTCAAGGTGGTTGATGTAACGCACCGCTGATACATTGACCATTCTGAGCACCACGCAGTAGACCGCTCGACCGGGGGTAAGGTTGCGAATCACAAAAAACCCTTGCGAACAGTTCCAGACAATAAATGTGCAATGCTTTCACTAATTCTGA